GTCTTCTGAGGCACCCTGATACCAGTTGATATGTTAATTTGAAGCACAGGACCCTGCAAGTTCTTTAACAGAAGTCTGCAAAATATATCTGACTCTTTTCCCAAAAGTCATAACAAGTTATGTTCATCAGAAGTCATAAATTTGAGGTAGGAAACCGCTACACACAGGATTAATAATCTAAACAATCTGCTGTTGCTTAGTATATCARACTCAAAAATACTTTATTTTTGTTTAGATAGAAGATAAACTTTATTAGATGGACAGTTTTTGCAGTATAGATGTTTTATTTGTTGTTTAATTATATTTCAGAGCAAACATGCAAGATGACAGCAAATAGAAACAAGGCAATCATTTTTGTAACATAGTTTAAAATTAGCTGAATATTTATTAAAACATTAAAATGGGTTGAACATATTCTACTTGCCACAATGAGGTGAAATAGTAATAGTGTTATTTTTGAACCAACTGGTTAAGCAGTTAGCATTATTAGAAGCTTTAGTCTTCATTATTTGAATAAACTACCCCCGACCCGAGCGACACGACACGTCCATTTTACAAATATCTGCTTCCATCAGGACGGGGAAGTCATCGGGATAAACACCATGAAGGTCACGGCGGGGATCTCTTTCGCCATTCCCTCTGATCGCGTGAAACAGTTTCTCGATCAAGCTTCAAAAAGAAAAAGTAAGCGTCGACGAACGGCAGCTTCAGGTCTTCACTGAGTCTGCTTCTTTTGTAGAAGACCTCTGAGTTTCTTTCACGTCTCGTCTTTCAGCCTCCTGGTTCAGCGAGTCGGGGACGAAGCCCAGGTATATCGGTGTCATGATGCTGACGTTGACGCCAAGGTAAAACTGTCTCGCAGTCAAGAAGTTGCGATACGGCGGTTTCTGCTGTGATTTAACATTTTCGTTTCGCTTTCAGCATCATCGATGAGCTGAAGATGAGAGACCCGTCCTTTCCGAACGTGACACACGGCGTCCTGATTCACAGAGTCATCTCAGGCTCACCGGCCAGCAGGTAAACTTCCTCACATGCCACGAAGTGACGCTCGTTTCCCGTCTGATGCAGCTTTGTCCTTCGTTTTCATTTGTTCGGTTCAGTTATTACGAGACACGCATTATGTACGGACTGCTTTCAGGGCCGGCGTGCTACCAGGAGACGTGGTGGTGGAGATCAATGGGGTGAAGGTGAAAACCTCTGAGGAGATCTACAAGGCTATCCGCAGCAGCAGCAGCAGCATCAGCTTGCTGGTGCAAAGRGCCAACGAGCTGCTTCAGCTCCGAGTGATTCCCGAATACATCGAGTGACGCTGTCATCTCCACGAGCGCCTTATGAACCAACAACCGTTAGTTTGAGGAGGAAAAACTGTGAAACCTAATAATGACTGTGGTCAAATGATTTCTTTTGGTTTTTAATTGCAATACAGTTTAATTGTTGGTACAAAGAGTTTCTACCCGTTTTTTTTTTTTTAAAAGAAGCTTTTTCATAAATTATTCATTATCTGCTTGAACTGTTAATTTACACCTGGATTTTCAGGTCATCTTTGCAAAGTCCCCAAAAACATGCATTACTTGTGAAATATAAGAATCCAAAACACACCTTTTTATTTTTAAAGCCATTTATTGTTAAACAGCAAAAAGCATGAGACTCAACACTATGGCAAGGAGCAATGGTTTTAAACTGACTACCATTTAGTGAGTAAATAAGTCTGTCGAGCACAAACGTTGCTATGATGATGATTAAGAGCAAAAATAAGAGGATTCCAAATTTTTTTTCTAAACTGAGCATGTCACACAAAGAACTGAACATGAATTCACTTCATGTAAAAAAATAAACCCCAATCCTGCATAGGAGAGGAAATTAAAGTGAAAAAGCTACTCGCAGATTTCACTGAGCCGTGAAGCCGTACTAAGTACATTTCAATTTTCCCTGGTATATGTACAGTAACACACACATAATAAAGTGACATGTACTGGACTGCAACACAATTAAACATTTAGCTCAAAGACGACTATTCAATGGAGACGACATTCAAACCACTTAAGGTTTAAACTTTTTTTTTTTCCACTTTTTGGAATCAAGACATCTTTTAGGTACAAGTACTACAACATACAAGTATGGGAGGAAAAAAATATGCAATTGTTCATATTCCATTAAATCTACTTTTAAAAAGGCTTAATATATATTGCTGGTAATATTTATTTTTCTTCTTAAGAAAATAGTTGTGCGACTGAAGCTTACAATACACGGCTGGCAGTAGCGCCAGGTTCTTGGTGACCTGCTGGAGAAAGGGTCATCTGTCAAGGCGCTGTGTGCTGAGAGAGTCCCCAGAAGAGAACAAATGAAATGAAAAAAACAAAAAAACAGTATTTTATGATGCCTGAATCCTTTGCACCAAAACCAATGTGCTGCCATGGTGTTTGTCACGGTGGAATGCTGCAAATATCAAATTATGTGCACAAACAGCAGCCAAACTGAAGTTAAAACTCATACTGAAGATACATAAATAAGTGGCAGTGGGGTCAGGTAAGTGGGTCAGGGGACAGAGGGGGGTGGGGTCTGGAAGAAGGAGTGACAATGTCAGGGACTAATTGTAGTGTCCGGTCTAGTCCAGCAGTGAAGTACTGACTCAGATGACGTGGTCCAGAGCCCGCAGCAGCTCCTCCCCCTGCAGCAGGTACTGACGACCCTGCAGGGGGGCGTTCACCTCGCAGTCGTAGCTGGTGAGGTGTGGCAGGGTGAAGAGCAGGCCGGTGCCGTCTGAGGTGGTGCCGAGCAATCGACTCGCCACGTCTGAGACATAAAACACAGTTACGCCTCATTATTTGACCTTTTAAACAACATTTAACTGAACAACCCCAATAGATCCTTTCATAGGTACAAGTGCCAGAAGAGCCTAGCTCTTCCAGGTCAAAGGTCAACTGGTAAACTGTTGAGGTTGCTACAAAAAAGCGATTGAAATTGTGAAAATTTAACAACTTGAAAAAGTAGATTTATAGTTTAGATATGTATGAAAAATCAGGTCAGTAAAACTGTAAATTCACTGGTTGAAGTGGCGTTTCATTGGCAACCTCAGCGTTTTCCAGACAAACGTGTGAGCTCGGCCTGCTTTGTGCTTTTGTAACAAATTACAACTACGAAATGGTCTATGCCAATGAACTTGTATAAAACAAATAAAAACAAAATACGATGATTTGCAAATCCCTTTCAGCCTCCTTTCAGTTGAATCCACTACAAAGACAGGATACTTAGTGTTCAAACAGAAACTGTTTTTTGTCCTGATGCATTTCAATAATCCAGGTAGAAAAATCAAAAAGAAAAATAAGTAGGTCCTCTGGACGGGTTCTTCTTTAACGAAACAATTCGTCTCTCCTCTGAGGGACTTCTTCAGTCTGAGGAGTTTCAGGTGAACTCAGCCTTATAAGCACTTCCTTCATGACCCTCTGAACAATAGAGCCAATCAAGGCACTAACGACTTATTGTTTGACTGATGGTCCTCTTTTGCATGTGACCAACCTGTTTGTCCACCATGTGGAGGCAGTGTAGTCTTTCAGGACATGGACAATTATTTTATTTTTTATGCAAATATTCACTCATTTTGAATCTGATGCCTGTAACACGCTCCAAAAAGCTGGGACAGGAGCATGTTTACCACTGTGTTACATCACCTCTGGTTTTACCAACACTCAAGTTTGTGAACTGAGGACACAAACTGTTGAAGGTTTGTAGGTGGAAGGAATTCTTTCCCATTCTTGCTTAAATAAACAACTTCAGTTGCTCAACAATCAGGGGCCTCCGGACTGCAGGCAGTCTTGTCTAGTATCTGCACTCTTAGTACGAAGCTATGCTTTCAGCATTAATGGTGCCTTCACAGATGTGCACGTTATCCATGCCATGTGCACTAAAACGCCCCCATACCATCAGAGAGGCTGGCTTTTAAACTTGGTGCTATTAATAATCTGGACAGTTCTTTTCCTCTTCGGCCTGCAGGGCACCACATCCGTGATTTAGAAAAATAATTTGAAATTTGAGCATTCCTCAACTTTCCCAGCTATTTTAGAAGGTGTTGCAGCATCAAATTCAAAATGAGTGAATTTTTGCATAAAAATAAAAGTTTATCTATGTTTAAACATTAAATATCTTGTGTTCCATTAAATTTGGATGGAAAAGTATTTGAAAATCATCATATTCTGTTTTTATTCATGTTTTACACAACGTCCCATCTTCACTGGAACTGGTTTCGTAGCAAAGATCGGCTGACTCACCTGAAGGCAGTAGAAGTATAGTAGAAGCTTTGGCTGCTCCTGGCTCTGTTGCCTTCAGCTTTTTGCCCTTCTCAACTTGCTCCTGGGACAAACTTCCCTGAATAAAAACAAAAAATACAGATGTTTATCCTCACACGCGTAAAAGTTAAGCTCCACAAATGGATTTTTTTGGGTGTTATCAGACAAACCTGTTCAATAATCTCTTTTAGTTCGCTCAGTTTTCTTTTACGCTGTGTGTTCTGAGCTGCTGGATTTCTGGGAGGCACAGCTTTCTCCTTCTCTGGAGCCCTGCAGCACAACAACAACAAAAAAATTAGCTTCCATGAAAGTTACATAAACGTGATAAATTTTAAAAAACACATACAGGAAGCTTTTTGGAGATTTTACCTTGCCAAAACAACGGTGGCTAGAGGAAGCGTACTGACGGGCTCTGGTGGTGGGGGGGAAGCTGTGCAACTGCCTGGTGGGCTGAATAAAGAGTTGGGATAGCTTTGGGCTTCCAGTTTGACAGGAACCGGGGAACTCTCAAGAGATTTGACTGGTCCACAAGTTAGAGGCTCCTCTGGAGTGAGACAGTGCAGCTGAAAGTCGTCATCCATGGGGATGTAGGGCGCCAACATCTCCAGATCCAAGTCCCCCATTGGCTGAAGGGGAAGATATTAATTTCATTATTAATTTTTCATACCAGCTTTAATCAGTTCAGGAATGTAGGGTTGATGTAGAACTAAGGTAAATTTAGACACCGTAATCATTTTAACATGCATGTTTTTGTAGAAAAATGATGTTAAAATAAACTCAACCAATCAAAATATTATGATCTATAGTTTGTATTACTGTATTTATTTGTGTATAAAACGATCTCATGTATAATACGACCCCCCTATTTTTAGCTTAAAAAGCATAAAAATTTTAATTCTCATACTACCTATAATTTCATAGGGACTTCAGGATTTTTCAGCCTTTGCAGTCTTTATACATATCAGTAAAATGATCATTTGACTGTTGTATCAGTTTTTTAATTTTATTTTAACAACCACTRTACTAAAAAGGTTCACAACAACAAATGTATAACAGTAACTACAACAMAAYATAGTGAAATTTAGCAATGCTCATTTGTTAGCCGGTGTGATWTAACAAACAGACAGAGCTWYGAGGCTCTAACAAGTGTGGATGAAGCTGAATCAAAAGCCATCAGAATCCCACTCAACAACAATCTCATCCTCTGTGTCTCACCAGCGCCCCCTCTGGTGGGGAAACTTTTTCAGGTAGACCAACTTTTCCAGAACACCGGTCGACGGCAACYRTTACAGACAAACGTGTTTGTTGTTGTTCCGGCAGCGGCCCGGTCGCACATTAATGCCATTAGTTTGTTATCATTACTAAGCTGCAGGACTGCCTTTTTTCTTTTCACATCATATTGCCTGCTTGGATCTGTTACTATCTCGTTCGGAGGCACAAAGGAGCGTCAGGGGTGAGCTCGCTTCAACCGTTTTTTACGACGTGGTATCATTTCTGGGCTAAGGCATTTTGTCAATGAGGCCAATATTTCTGGTTATCAGTTAAAATACATAAGCAAAAATATTGATCCGAGTATAGTACTACCCCCCAACTTTATGGATGATTTTATGGATTTAATTTTTCGYATTATACTAGAATAAAATACGGTAGTTTTATAATGAAGCTGACTTAATTAATAAATACAAAAACAGAACCTCACCTGTGTGTTGAACTGGGGTTTGGATTCTGGGTCAATGGCAAAAAACTTCTCCACCAAGTCCAGTTTGAAATCTGAGTTCATATCTGAATCCATGGGGAAAGAAAAGCCTAAAGGACCGTCAGACTGAAAGGAAAGAAAGAAAAAGGTCAGACTAAGTCCTTTTTATTAGAAATTAAGTGGTAAAATAAGTGTATCTTTTTACCTCAGAAGAAGCGTGGGGAGGAGTAGTGGTCAGGGTTGGAGCAMGGCTCTCTGACTTCACCTCCTCAGAGTGGGTGTTGGAGATGATAAAAGGCTCAGTGGGGGCCAGAGGGGACAGAGGCAGAGTCAGCTTGTCACCTGTGGAGGGCAGCATTACATCGTTGTAGAGAGGGATGTCGTTCAGGTCATGGACATCTGATTCTGTACCTGTAAAGAAAGTAGATCAGAGTTATTTTAGAGAAATAAAAACCACTTATTATCCATATAAATGTAGGATTATGTGGACACTGACCAGGACAGCTGAAGTCCAGGGAGATGATTGTGTCCCCGGCTGCTGGTGCCAGCAGGGTGAGAGCCTCAGAGTTATTCTTAAAGCGTTCGTACAGGCTGCCCACCGGCTCAGGCCCAACCATCTCTGTGAAGAGCTTCACCACGTCCAGTTCTCCAGTCTTCTCCTTCTCTTTCACCAGGACGGAGATGCTGCTCTCGACCACAACCTCTTCTTCCTCCTGGTCTTTTTCTTCCTTCTCCTCCTTCACAGGCGTCACATCCTTCGTCTGCTCCAAAGACAGGATCAGTTTGTCCTCCTGGATCCCACTGTTAAATAAACCCAAACTGTAACATTAGTCTTCAGATTTTTCTTCTGGGGAACTGGTTTCAGAGCCTTTGCAGTACCTGAGCACAAAGTTGACACAGACGACACACTGTGGCTGAGAGTTCTTGTTGTTGTAGATGACAGTGGCCTGTGTTTCCACCCACACRAAGCCCCCTCGTTTGGCCAACATTCGGTACTGACCGGTGGTGACCTGGCCCTTAGCAAACACTAAGAACACAACAGCAATAACGAAAAGGTTTTACTTCATCGTCATTGGTCAAAACTGAAGTTTGCTAAATTCATCCAGGAAATTTTGTTTTGCTTACAGTGGTGGTGAGTTTTGGTGAGATGGTCCGAGTCCAGAGCATGATAGTACTCGTATACAGAACGATGCAGCAGATCCTCTGGATCATAACCCATGAGTTCAGTGATTCTGTTTAAATATATATAAAAAAAGAAAGATTGGAGCAAGCTTTTGTAACACAAAGCACCTGGTGCATCATGTATGAAAGAGTAGACGGCTTTTACACTGAAAGTCAGCGTACAGACAATATTCAAAAAGTGATGAACCAAACTACACATACATGTTTCTGCGCATCTATTCTTGATACTTTCCATTTTATGTGGAATAGAGCTGCATATGTCACTTGTTCCCCTCTCATAAATAAATACACAGCAGGTTTCCTCTCTGTGTATGTGAGGAGGAGAGAGGATATTATAAGCTGTAAATTGTATTTAAAAGTCATTCATCCTGAACTAACCTCTCATCACAGTACGTGAACTTCATGTCCATCGTGTGGCGGCTGAGGAAGGTCTTTGTGTCCAGAGGGACCTCGATGTTGGAAGGGTGGGGGATAGGGTCGCAGATCACAACCAGGTACGGGACTGGGGGCTCCTTCTGCCCCTCGGTGGTTCGCTCAGCAGCAGTGTCATGAACATGAACACGACCCGAGCAGTGAAGCACCTACAGAAACACAGCAGGGGGGTTCGTCACCAGCTCCAAAACATTTTGACCTTGAACAGTTTTTAAATATTGAATTGTTTAAAATGTATTACATAAATAAATAAATTAATTAATTAATTAATTAATTAATGCTTTTAAGCTAAACAGACGCAGTTAGTCATCATTAGGGGTCTATAAACTGCATAATTCTGCAATGATTGCTGTAATTMATTCTTTGTTTTAAACTTGAAAAGAATAAATTAGTAGGACCATCAAAAGATAATGTAATTACATTTATACGTTTAACTGTACAGTAGCTTCTTTTTTTATAACTATTTTTTTGGATAAGCATTTTAAATATCTAAACACCTTTTAAATTCTATTCTAAAAKGATTTTATCTAATCTTTCATGAGGACTAAAAATGACATGTGTCATGAGCACATCAGCTGTCATCACGCAGTCTGAGATAAAACATGACCTGCAGCTTCAGAAGAGACCAGTCATACAGTGTCTAGGTTAATAAAATTATTAAAAGGACACTAAAGATGCTACTTTCAACATATTTTTTTTATTAAGCTTTAGTTTTGTGAAATTTGATTAACCTGGCAGGTAGTTGTGCACAGAACCGTGCATTAAAACAGCAACAAAAGACATCCCTGTTTCTTAGACAAATGTACAAACAGTCATTTCTCTGATGCCTACCTTCCATGTAGCTGACTTAACGTTGACGGTGCGRCCCCTACTTGTCAGGGTGCATTTCATCCGGACAAAGAAGCTTCGCTCTGTATTTGGGTCTTTGACTTTCTTGGAGCCTGAAATCACACACATACAGACACAAAATAAATAAGTAGATAAACAAACAAACAAACAAACAAACAAACAAACAAACAGGCGTGAAGCATGAGTTAAATAAAGCAAACCTGCAACAGATTACTTTTACAAAGTGCCCACCCCACCCCCAACAGTTTGCAAACTGCCAAAAATTTACATTTGCATAAAACAGGAGACATTAGGCTGTAAAGCTGCTGCACTGTGGTGAGCTACAGAGAGATAAAAAGGAAGTAACTTTACCGGTAGCRCTGCAGCTGAGACAATAGAGTGCAGACACTAAAGAAGCCTTACATGAGAAACTGASTGAAACGAGTGTCATCCAAGTAAAGCAAGACAACTCAAACCACATCGCTCAGGACAGGAGCAGAAAGAGGCCTATTTGTCTTCTGGGTTTGCCACTGCAGAGCGTAGTGGACTTTTTACCATTTGGAGAACCTGACTGARAGCTTTGTGTGTCCGTTTCTGTCAAAAGCTGCATTTTTCCAGGGCAACACTGCTCACCTGTTCTGTAGATGAGCATCTCTCTCAGCTCCTCCTGATCACAGGGATGTGTGAAGTCAAACACACTGTGCCCAGTCAGGTCAAACTGCAGACAGAAAAAACAAAATGGCAACATTAGCAGCAGCAGATTATACTGTCCCTTGTATGGTATAAAGCATTAAAACAGCATCTATTTAACTTTATTGACAAACATTGTTGTGCAACAAACATTTCAAACCAACCTGTGCAAGCCCGAGGCACTTGTTGACATTCTCTGACAGATAGATCATATCTCCATCTTCAGACAGCACCATAAGAAAGCCCTCCAGTGCCTTTAGGTAGAAGCTGTTTAGCTGAATATCGAGCTCTGTTTCCTTCTCCAACAGTGGCTCATCTGGAGGAGATAGCAAAGGGGAGGAAGGTGGGAAGACAGACAAAAGAAACACGAGAGATTAGGCAAAATATGTTAGAAATCTGTTCTGAAACATTTGCAAACTAGGAAATAAAGAAAAGTAGCCACAGGTGTGTTTGCAGAGAAGCAGCGTAAACGTTTCGGTACTTCCCCTACTTTTCCCACTTCCACTTGTGGGAGGTTTTTCTCAATTTCTCTGTGTCGTCCTCACCTTTAGTAAGTTGGCTTATGCAACAAAGTAGATCTACTTTCAATTCTGCACAAGCTTCCTGTGAGTGCAGCTCCTGCACATCTCATCTCACCTGATCACACTTAAAAATGACCTATAAAACTGAATTTTAATTGCTTAATCATATGTTTTTCTAGCATTAATACACCTGATTATAAAAAAATGAAATTAAATAAAAATTTAACTGCAAGTCGTCTTTAAAAGCAAACAACTAATGCACAAATAAGTCAAAACAGCAGCCTCTCTCCAGCATGACGGGCTGTTAACCTGCCTTAAAGGCTGGAAATGTAATTTTGTGAGTCCAAAATAACTAAAGAATAACTTTGGTTAAGGCAACCAAGACCCATTTTAGAAGTGGCCTTGGTCTGCTTCTAAATGATCTCTGGTGCAGTTTGCTTGTGGTGTGAATACAGACCGGCCTCAAACCAAACCAACTACAGGAAACATGCACCTTTTTGGACTTCAAGAGCCACCGTTAACGATTAGCCGCAACGCTACAAACAATGAGCCAATGTGGCTCAGGGAACGTGAAGCATCTCATCTTCTTTGGGTTGTGGCCACATTTGCTGACATTGTCCCAAAATTTGATGTAAAAAATAAAGATTTAAAAGCATGATATGACTCCTTTTAATATTCGGAAGCTAATTAATATAGTAGTACAATGAAGTTATCATTGCAGTTAAAGAGGTGAGACAGATGTGGTGCAGGCTAAACTGTCTATAGTCGGCTACAGATACTAACCGGTGCAAAGTAGTTTCCTCATGCGTAGGTAACTGATGGTCAGCCTCATGACGGAGGCCTTGTCCAAGCTCGAGCTGGTGCTGTGGGGGAGGGGCAGCTGCTTGGCCAGCTCATAGAACACCTCTGACTCCTTTCCACGACGGCATCTTGCTGCGTCCCTCGATTTTTCCTTCCTGCGCTCCGAGCTCACCCTGCAGGAGACAGATAGGTGGTAGATCAGCCACATGCTGAATCTGCTGGTCGCACAAGAGTTAACATCCTTTCTTGGTACTGGTACTGGTACTGAACTTATAGAGCGCTTTTCAAGTCCCTCCGGACCCCAAAGCGCTTTACACTAACAGACATTCACCCATTCACACTCACATTCACACACTGATGATGGCAAACTACACTGTAGCCACAGCTGCCCTGGGGCACACTGACAGAGGTGGGGCTGCCATACATCGGCGCCACCGGACCCTCTGACCACCATCAGTAGGCAAGGTGGGTGAAGTGTCTTGCCCAAGGACACAACGACTGAGACGGCTGGACGGGGGATCGAACCAGCGACCATCTGGTGAACCAGCGACCATCTGGTTCCTGGTGAATACCATAGAAAAGTTTTGACCCACCTCTGGTTTCTTAAAGAGGAACAAGTCTGCAGAGGCTGAATCCAGCAGCTGGAGCCTTCAACAGGCTGCCTCATGACCCAGCTACTGTCTGAACCCCTAAAAGACACATTCACTAAGATGGACATCTGCAGCTGGCTGATGACTAAAACAAACAGAGCCCACAAGTGATATGTCAGGAAAGAGTTATCTGTGTTTTGGTGCAGAGCCCAGCTACAGTGCAGCAATCACTGTCAAATACAAGCTTGGTCAAACAAATCTACAGGGACAAGCGATGAGAAAAGAACACACTCACACACACACACACACCAAACATAACAGAGTGCAGTATTTTATTAGAGCAGCTCTGAAATCTGCTTCTTGCTCATTTACCCGATTCTGTTGTGCACCTTTTCCAGGCAGGTCAGAGACCTGGTTTATAGGCCAAACTGTAAATAAGATCAAGATAAATGTTCTTGAACCAGACTTTAAATATCGTAATGCAAATCTATGAACACCTTTTCAAATGGGAAACTGCTCAAACATTTTACTAAGTTGTCTAGTCTGCTGCTTACGTGACCATTAATCTAAAAATACCAACATAAGATGGTAACACGACCACCATTTAATCAGCCCTGTTTCAAACTGTGCCTCAGAAACTCCAAAACACATTTAGATGACAGCAGAGCAGCATCACAACTAAATGGACAACAGCTTAAAAGCCCCTCTTCTATGAAATGCACACCTAATTGAAACTGATCCGGTACGCACTTACAGCACTGACCAAAGGCATATTGTTATTTAGAGCTCTCTGACCTGAAAATAGACCAACTAAAATTAGTCTGCTGCAAATTACATAAACTGGACGGCTTCGTTTCACTCTGCAGCTTTCCATTACATGCGTGACGTGCAAACCGCTCTATAACAGAGGTAATTGATCCTAAAGATTTGCAAATCAGAGGCAGATCATCATCTCTCAGTAAGTCACAAACATAGTGATATACCTGGTGAAAAAAAGGTGGGTCAAAACTTTTCTATGGTATTCACACACACTTGTACATGATTTATAGCCAACAGAAGCTCTTTCAATGTTTCTCTGCCAACACTGTTGATTAACAACAATACTAATTCTAGGGACGGGGCTGATCCGATACAGAATTGGTATCAGGGTCTGAAACAAACATAATTAACAGATCGAAATTTTCCGATCCAACATGGGGAGATTTCCGATCCACGTGTAGTGTCTGTGCTATAATGTTGTTGCTGAAATGACTCCAGAAGTGATTCCTGGCCGGCTGCTCTGCTAGCTGGCTGAATTTCCAGAACGGAGAGTCTCAATGAGACACGGCGTAATGAGACATCCAGGAAACCCGTTCCACAGTTTGCAGCCAGCTAGCAGAGGAGTAGCTCTGTGGTTAAACTAACTTTTCACCACAACATGACTTTGTGTGTTTAAAAGCAGAGACTATACACCAGTTTTGAAATTGTGTTGATAGGCCAAGTAAAATGAGAGTTATGATAAAGAATATCCAACATTTTTTTTCTGTAAATGATCTTGGCAAGGCAACAGGAAACGTGCACACTGATGGAGAAAAACTCTCCAGTTGTGCATCAGTCTCAGATTTCTCTCGAGCCTAATAAATAACCATCTCCACCTTTCTGACTGAGGCATGAAGTTATTTGTTAAGCAACAGCAATATTAGCTGTCTGGCAAGAGAGGATATGGCAAATTTTTCATGTGTGCAACCCACATACTCAGCTCTACAGCTCATCCCACAAATGCATCCTTACAAATATGGCACCATTTAAAACAGGAAATTAACAGGCTTTCCATCTATTTAAGATTTATTGCCAAGTAGGGCTSGGCGATAAATYGATTACTTCGAATTCGCCATTTATAAAGATTTAATTTTGGGAAAAATCGAGATTTTTTTTCTCACCAATACACTCTTTGGGGCTTCTGTAGTTCAGAGGTCACCCCACCTGTCCCTCAAGATGCTTGGTACATGACGTGACAATATGGCAGCTAGCAGAGAGGCTCTACTTGCCAAAAAAGGCACTGTTTCTTCAGTTTTCTGGAACTGGTTAGGTTTTGCAACCTCAGACTTGGAGCAACAAACACCTCACTGCAAAATCTGTTTGAAGGCTCTTGTTACAAAAAGCAGGAGTACAACAAATTAGTTTCGACACCTGAAACAGAGGCACTCCATTAAGTGGGGAAACAAAATCGATTAAAATCGAAAATCAAATTTGGGATGGGGCCATTTCGCCTAGCCCTATTGCGAAGAAGCACGATTACAACAAAGAAATAATCTACCAAACACAAATTTCATTATGTTTTGTGCTACACTATACTTGAAAATCCCATTACTGCTAGCAAAGTTGGCGCAATACCGTGCAGTGCTGCTGGGTTGAAAAGTTTGTTTGTTTACATATTCTTTTACTTTAGGACAAAATGAAAAGTTCACTTTACTGATTTATCTGTTTTATATACTCTTTTTATTCTCTTTTTAATCACTTCAGTAGAAAAACGAACTTAATATTAGTTTATTAATTTCTTCATCATCAGTGATTTTTTTAACTCAAACTTTTTTTTGTTGTTTTATATACTCTTTAAACCAAAATCATTATCTATCTCTCATGCAAATTCGCTGAAGTGGACAGCTGGTTTCAGATTGTTTGTCCTACTGGGACAATGAAGCAAGTGCCCAAATGCAGGAAGTGTGTCATCTGTTGGGAATAATATTTAAACATCTCTAGGTGGTGAACTTAATACGTAATAACAAACAGAAGTTTTAGAAAGGATATAAAAATGGATAAAAAACTGTAGTTTGATAAAAATGTACAATAAAAAAATACTTGTTTTCAAATCAAAACTAAGTGCCCCGTGAGACTCGAGACTTATCTAAAATATGCAGTGAAAATAAAACTGTTCAAAGACGAGCAGAGGGGCCACCATTACATAACACTGCTAATCCACAAAGTCATGCGGGCACTGCACTTCTCCTCTGCCTCACATTTTTTAGTCTGCTTTATCAAAGACTATTTTGTTGATGAGGTTTTAAAAGTTACACATGTGGTAATGTGGACTTTGGGTTAAAAAGAAAGAGAGAATATAAAAGCTCTCCCAGGAAAATCACCTTGACCTACTAGAGTTGCTTGTCTATTCTGTTACCAAGGGCTGACCTATTTAACAAGGGAAAGCTCTCTGTACCGTTCAGTCCTGTTTTGTGTGACGATAAACATGGTCTTATTATATAATGCAGTGAAAGAAGGACTACTGCACTCATACACCAAAGAAAGAAGTAAAATAAAGCCAGTTTGCATTAAAAGACACTCTGAATTAATAGGGTTATTAAGGCTTCTTTAATAGAAGTAAATTCTGTGAAGTTGCTATAAAATAAATCTAATTTTCGAAACTGAATCTATAGTATTTTGTCTTTATTATGCAGCTCAGTAAATAATTATAAATAAAGGCACACTTGTCCTGGAATCTGAATTAACACTTGGACTGTGTTTGTGTACTTTTGTTTGCAGTGCATTAAGTTAGTAAAAACTAAACATGACATACTCTTTAAGTTTCTAAATACCATAATAAAACAAAAAATACAACAATGTAAAAACTTGAAAAGCTTGCAAATTCACACAAGTTTAAACTAATGTTTTTTTCAAGCATATATTTAGCAAGAATWTGAATTTATCAAAACCACCAACTAAAAGTTTATTATTTAAATGAGCAGAGTGATTTTTTTCCCCTGAATTCCTGCTGTTAAACCATACACTGGTTTCATTTCAAAATACTGAAAAACAACAACACTCTGGTTTACACGAAGTTGAAGTCATTCACGTCTACCAAACACGCTCAAAATGAAGCACAGTCATCAATCATTAAACAAAAGTTCACAAGTTTTCAGTTAGAGTTTGGTTGTTCTGATTCACGTGATGTCGGTATCAATCAAACTGAATCAGTTTTACTTTCATCTTCTCATATGTTGATATTTAATAAATTAACAAACATTATTTCCATTAATTTCATAAAACTATATTGGAGAAACAGGAAGGCAAAAACAATGATTGCAATACTGTAACTTTAGTGTGGATGAGCATATCAAGTCACCACTGCATATGCTGACACCGGTTGAATATTTTATATATTTAGACGTTGACAAAGAGCGCCATACAAAGACAGAACGCATGATGTGAAACTAATGGGGTTTTGGGAGGGTTCAACAGACGCCAGACTCCTAATTAGTTCAAGGAAGGAAAGATGAAAATGTCCTGACCTGAGATACTTTTTTCATACATCCTTCCTTGGATTGTTCGAGACATATTGTAAATTCCTAACAACTGTGCTAAATTTATTCATCAAGAAGGGAAAGAAAATGTTTCCAGATGCACATAACTGCAGCACAACTTTGTAACTTTAGAAACTGGCAAATGACCACAGCAGATGTTTTCTCATGTAATATTTTTACAGGGTTTTATCTATTTCAAATCATCTGTGTTTCAGTCTGGACTGCACATGGAGCCTAAACTTCTCATTTGGTTAAACACGATAATGGTTTTCTTTTAAATCAGCTATAAACAGGGGTAGACATAAGGAAAGTTTTCAGGTTGTCCAGCGGACAACCTATTGACAAAACCTGGTTGTCCACAAAACATTTTGGTTGTCCAAAAGAATCCCAAGAAAAATGTAATTTAACAAGTATATTGTTTTGTAGATGACATTTATTATTTACAATTGTTCTCAGTCAGCCAGGTTGACAGGAGCTGCCTGAATAAAATTTCCTCATTCTCTTCTTTGAAATAGAGTTCAACATTCACAAGCTTCTTTCTGATCACACGTAAAACATTTTCACTTAAATAGGAGTATCCTGTGTACATGACCTTATTAAAAGTTACAGTTTAGTGTTCTGTTTGGTTTTACCAAGTTTTTTTCTCCCGTTCATTTTTACGATGATGAACACCAGCAACAGAGAACTTTAATCAAGGTCATTTTTGCTTGATTGTCCACCGGACAACCAGGAGACATGATCTGGTTGTCCAAAATGAAAATAGGTTGTCTCGGACAACCTAAACAATGGTTATGTCTACTYCTGATAAAGATCAAACATAAACAAAACCTTGAGTGTYAGGTCAAAGTAGGTCGTCTGCATGCACCTTCATTAACTACCCTACCACAAACCAAAACATATCTGTGCTCTGTTTCAGCAAGCACCTATTTTCCTTTTTTCTTTTTTTCAAGTTCTAACTGGCCTTCTGTTTGAATGCCTCAAAGCAACCTGCTAGTTGCCAACCAATGAGTCCCTACACACATTTGGCCACTCCTATTGACGTCAAGGCCCAGTTATTAAGGGATGAGGCCAAGGCATTATCAAGACACCTCAAAGAAACCAGTGAAAACTACATTAGATCAGCCCATTGAACTGGACAAAACCCAACACACATTTACTGACGGGTCGTAACAATGCTGAACCTTTGCCAAGACGAACTCTAAACAGAGTGCTAGATTTCAAAGCAAACAAAGCAGGAGTGAAACCCCGGGAAGCAACTAAACACAGTTGACAAAACAAAACATCACCGGAGCAACAACTTGAAATTGAAAGGTTGAGAACTGGGTCAAACACAACCAAAAAAGAAAAAAAAAAAAACAAAAAAAAAAAAAAAAAAAAAAAAGGCTATTTAACAACCTTTTAGATTTCATATTCAACCTTCTCTTCTATTCACTCTTGTGACTTGGGGAGCACCATTTTAATGGCCATCTTCTGTTTCTTTCAAAACCAACTCTTGATGAGATAAAGTGCAGGTTTTGCCACTGCATTAACCCATATAACCACCTTCCTCCTGTTGTAAATGGATTATATGCCAAAACAGGAACTGGGTTTGATATTTGGCAGAAYATCAGCTTTGAATGTGGAACTGTAAGTCAACAAATTTAATGGATCTAGAGARGAAAAGAAACAGCCTAAGTACACAAGTAATATTTTAAAATGAAGAAGCTCCACCATAGATTTGAAGCATGTTGTAAGGCTYGATTGACAGCTTTAACTACAGATTATTTTACATTTAGAGCCTCACAATATTTTGTTCCCACTATGTGATCCTAATGTGTTGATATGTAAAAGTCCCATCTCCAGATGCCCAATTATTATTTCAAAGTTTCAAGTTTTTATAAATGGAAAAAGTCTGTCTAAAGTCTGCATGTAGGAGTGTCTAGCAATTATGTTTTGATAAAATGACTAAACMATTTTTTAAACTAACATTGTAAAGCACAAATGAAAAGCCAAACAAACCATTAAAAACCACTAAAACATGTCAAGTTTCTTAATTGTCAACCAAGCTCATCTGTTTTTGTAATAGCTTAGCTTTAATATTAAAGTTAGTTCTGAAACTGAAAAAAACAAACTCAAAGTTTTCAACCTAATCAGATGAAGTCAATTAGTAAGTGTTATTGAGGCCTTTGCAAACATTTATGGTTCAACTGAAAAGAAAMCCCAGTAGACAATGTATCATACTATTAGAAATCCTTAAATAAATATATTAATTGGACACAGGACATAGCTTCAACATAAATTTTACACACAATTTCTTTTTTTTTTTTTAAGAAGTCATTTAAGGACAACTTTTACAGGCCTGTTCTTGTCTCATACATTAACCAGACAAGGTCCAATTTAATGTTTTCAAGTAACAAAAACCGGTTGCTATCCAGTCTTTTGTTTACRTGCTTTGAAGTGATCAGTCTTTAAAACACATCCATTTATTTTGAGCAACTAGATCCACTAATCCTCTGTGGTCAACGTCCTCCTGGTCAAAGTTAGCAGCAACTAACGAAACGTTTCCACACCGCTGATGAGCACAGCTAATCTCCCGAAGTGCTGACAGTGTCTTTTATTTTCTATTCCTACGATCAAACTTAAAATCATGCCAACATTTAGCTCACATGAGCAAAYATCTTTTCCATGAGCATTATTAAAACAAAAACAGTGCACCTCAGTGACATTATTTAAAGAATACATTAGAAGCGAGAGACAAAATAAAAGTAAATATCCATATCGTTTCTGCTTCACGAGGAAGTCTCCGCTAATCCCATTTAAAATGCGCAGTTAGCACAGCAGCCGTAGTTAAAACTAGTTAATGCAGCTAAAAGCAGGTTGAAACGCTAAAATTAATTAACTACCTGCTAAATAAAACAACTGTTTAGATTTGACGAACTATTCAACTGTGTTAGCCGAATGCTAACAGCTAGCAGCGCCGCTAGCAGACACAGTTCAGGCAAACCAGCAGTTCACCTTGAAAATAAAGGCCGTGTTGTCACGTGAGTTAATAACAACTAAATCCAAATAAAAGACCCAAGTTGTGCAGTTATTTAAAAAAAAAAGAACGCGTGGCATTAGCTGGCTGCGACGTTACCTTTTCTTTTCAGGTATGATTCCTGTGTCCATGTCAGGACGATTGGACTGGAGTTGAGCCTCTCTGTCGGCTTCAAGTATCCGGCGCGTCGACAAAATGAACCACAATCCCACGGTTTTCAAAAAGATGTTAATCCGCAGGTTCTCCGAGGGGGTTACATAAGAGCTCCTTTTGGGTATATTTCGTCCCAAAAAAAATATCAAACTCTCAAAAGCCAAAAACTGAGGTTACTTTTTATATAAGATATAAATGCCACGCTGGATAACTGCTTCTTCCTCGAGTGTTGCCTCACGCAAGATCGCTGACTCCTCCCACTTTACCCTCCCACTAGCTCCGCGGGAACGCGCAATCACATGACTTACAACATCGAGAACACGCACAGTGACTCAATTGCAAGTGATTCACACAATTTTACAAATACTTCTTCAGTGGCCTTGATGTCATTTACTTCATTATTAGAAATGGGATTACATTACTTTGACACACAGGCAGCGAATGACTAGAAAATGTTGGATTGTCAGTCTGCCACAATAAAAGTCTTAGAACTTCCAAACCAAATCGTGTTTTCATTGATGATTGTTATACTGCCAATATTGTTTTTGTTAATTCCAGTAAAGTGGATCTGATTGATCAAATCAATCTACTTTTACAAAAAGTTATTAACAGATATGCAGTATGTATGTATGTATGTATGTATGTATGTATGTATGTATGTATGTATGTATGTA